AAGAGTTAAAGTCTGAAGGAGGAAGTGAGTTTTCATCAACAACAGTTTGATCATCTTCACACTGTGACCTTTGGTTTAGCCTTGACCTCTGTGACCTCAAGGTCGTCAAAAAACATTCTTCATCAAACGTTCAGATTTCAGTACAAACTGAAGCTGAGGTAAAAAAACAAAACTCCTGGGTTTGATGAGACAACTGTTGTTGGTGAGAAGAGAAAAAAACAAGTCAGGACAAGATGAGGGGCGGGGGCCCTTGACGTGTACACCTGCAGCCTGGACATGTCCACAAATCAACCGTCACATTATACAGTCAGGTTGTTGTTTCTGGGACGTCAACGCTGCATGTGATTGGTTCACACCAGAGAGTGGACAAAAATGACCGTGACATTTGGGTCGGACCTCTGACCATCGAGGCTGATGATAAAAACGTGTTTTAATCCAAGCTTTTCCAAAACCGCGTCAACTGCTGCCCCCTGTCTGAATGACAAAGAACTGCATCGGTCATGTGAACGACTGGAGGCAGCAGTGGAGCAACAACTGCTGTGTCTCTGGGAACTAAAATCACTGCTTTTCTCTGTGGCAGCCCACAAGGGGGCGCACTCTGCGTGTCGGTTACACTCTCACGTCTTTTCTGTTTTATTAACTTTTTGTTTGGGAAATGTTCCAGGTTTAGTGGGAACCAGAGGTTTAAGCCAATCAGAGAAAGAGGGGGCGGGGCCAAAGAAGGAAATGAAAGGAGAGGCCAACCGGACTGTTTCCACGGTGACTGGTTGTCTGCGATTCCACCGAGGGGCCACAGGTCGCTGAGTCGCCGGTCCATCTGCCACGCTGCGTCTGCCGTCGGAGCCAATCAGCAGAGAGAGAGACGGGGACGCCCAGAAACAAACGACCAATGACAGAAGAGAGGGCGGAGACCAGAAAGAGGTTAGCTGAGAGAAACAGCTGAGTTAAACACACACACACACACACACACACACACACACACAGATTACTCCACAGCTAAAAATAGTCCCAACATCAACACAGGTTGTTTATATTCAGGTTTCATCGTCCAGTCTTAAAGGGACAGTTCACTTTGTTTCACTTTGTCCTTCGATGGTTGTTCTATCCGTCCATCCGTCCGTCCATCCGTCCTTCCATCCGTCCGTCCATCCGTCCATCCATCCGTCCATCCATCCTTAAACCTAATCAGTACTGTGAGCGCCCCCTGCTGTATCTTACCATGAAAATAGAAAACCACAGTTCTTAAACCAGTTTCTGCAGCTGGTCTACTGCTGCCCCCGGTGGTTAGCTCGTGTTACTGCGGTAAAACATCAAATCAGTTCTGTTGCGGCGGTTCCTCAGGGTGTGAAACACCAGAACTTTCCCTTTAAGAGTGGACTGAACCGGAGAATGAATCAGTTGTTGGAACTATTTTCAGGTTGGTTGTCAGAGGTGGCGCTGTTGCATCCTGTCTTCTACTCACACTGAAGTGTCCCAGGAGACAGGATGTCCTCGTCCATGTCGTCCAGGTCGTCAGACAGGAGCAGGTGCTGCGGGGTCTGGGGTCTCAAGCCCAGCATGGACGGGTCCAGGTTGAGGGCGGCGGCCAACGCCCCCAGACCAGGATTATTGACCAAACAGAAGCCGGTCAGAAACTCGATCTGCTGCCAGCGCTGAAGCTTCTCCCGCAGCGCCGCCGTGACCTCGGCCAGCGCCTGCCTGCAGGGGGCAGTGTAGAAACGCAGATTCAAGAAGCTGAAGAAAATCCAGGACTGATCATCGGCTCTGATGGACCTGTAGGTGTGGGATCAAAGGTCACTCACTTGGCCGACAGGATCTTATGGTCCACGTCGTCCAGGGAGGAGCTGTGGGCCACGTGGAACGGCCCGAACAGAGAACTTTTCTTCTTCTTGATTTTCTCTGCCTGCAAAGAACAAAGTGTCTGTCGTCCCCGTCATCATCATCATCATCATCTTCATCATCATCTTCATCATCATCATCATCATCATCATCATCATCATCATCATCATCATCATCATCATCATCATCATCATCATCATCATCATCATCATCATCATCATCATCATCATCATCATCATCATCATCATCATCATCATCATCATCATCATCATCATCATCATCATCATCATCATCATCATCATCATCATCATCATCATCATCATCATCATCATCATCATCATCATCATCATCATCATCATCATCATCATCATCATCATCATCATCATCATCATCATCATCATCATCATCATCATCATCATCATCATCATCATCATCATCATCATCATCATCATCATCATCATCATCATCATCATCATCATCATCATCATCATCATCATCATCATCATCATCATCATCATCATCATCATCATCATCATCATCATCATCATCATCATCATCATCATCATCATCATCATCATCATCATCATCATCATCATCATCATCATCATCATCATCATCATCATCATCATCATCATCATCATCATCATCATCATCATCATCATCATCATCATCATCATCATCATCATCATCATCATCATCATCATCATCATCATCATCATCATCATCATCATCATCATCATCATCATCATCATCATCATCATCATCATCATCATCATCA